CATGACGATGTTGCCCTTAAATGTGGCATATGCCGCGTGAACGACCCCGCGAATGCCACTTTTACAGCGTGGACTGTCCCTTAAAGATCGGGCATGAGCGACGAGGCCGACGTCTGGTCGCATGGCGGTAGCGTCCTCGATGCGTCCGGATCGATGCCCATGGCGCTGCTGCGTGTAGATGAGGATCAAGACGACGACGACGGCGTCGAGGATGAGGCAGCCGACGACGGCGAGGTAGACGACGACGACGGCGGCGCCAACCTCTTTGACGCATTCGAGGCCTTCCACCTCCAAGCCTCCAAGCGCATCGCTGTCTTGCTGCAACTGACGAACGACAAGGTCGGCTCCTTCTAGTCCCACAGCGCGTATGTATGCTGTTGCTAGATCCATGCGGTGAGCGACGCAGCCCACCCGACGCCCTGCCTCGTACGACATGCCGCAAAAAAGAAAGCGTTGTGCTTATGCACTCTCTCGAGCCTAGACCAACGCCGACGACGACTGCTACCGGCACTGGTCGGAAGGCGCGCCCTACCTCCGCGTCACGGGTCATGGTACGCTATGTCCTTTCCATCGTCGACGCTGCTCATGCTGGGCAACAAGGCATGCTGCATCCGCCGCTGGCCGCCGAGGAGCTGCCAGAGTGCATACCGCCCGTGGTCGTCGCCACGAAGACGCATTTGCCGCCGCGAGGTGACTCCATGTCTTGTCCCAAGATGCTATCCAGATGCGACGGTGCGTGTGGTGTAGCGGTGTGCTTGGAAGTTGCTGGTACCGCGATGCTCCTCAGCGCCAACGAGGGCCTCGACTGGAACGACGAAGAAGTGTTTGCAAGGTAGTGCACGTCTCCACGAGCGAGCAGGACCCACGAGAATGCGCATAGCGATGGTGTTCTCGACGAACCGCTCTATGAGCATCATCTACCGGACGAAGCAAGTGATAGCACCAACGATCTCGTCCGTCTCGCGCGGACATGGCCGAGGCTCATGGAGCGCATAGGTGTCCCCACGCACATCGCTCGTTCAACAAATGCACGACGCATTCCTAGAACGCCTTTGGCTCCAGACAGTCATCCAAGTACTTCTTGCATCTCTTACACAGCGTATGTACATTACCTGTAGTGCGATCCGATCCTGCGCCAAGTGCTCCAGCCGCTGCGTGAGCCCGCACTCCCAACGCCGCCGCCAAGCCCAACACCGAGCCCGACACCAGCCAAGGACGATCAAGACGAGTTTGATTTGCACGGCAACGTGCTCACGTCCGTGACGTGTCATGTGCTGCCATCGACGCCGCGCTTGGCGACGCGACGTCACTACTCGCCGTCGCGACCCCACGTGTTGCCATTGTTTGAGCCAAGAACATGCCACACACCCACGTGCCTGTAGGGCCATGCCGCACTTTGAACCTGTGCTCACGACGAGGCAAGCGGTTCCGTACCGAATCAAACTGCGATCGAAAGCGTGGTACCACTCATCATTATCTATCTATCTATCTATCTATCTATCTATCTATCTATCTATCTATCTATCTATCGGGCACTCAAAAGCAAGATAGGCATGCGAGCGTCGCCAGCTCTGTACCAGGTCATAAAAAACCACACCGGCCCAACCAATCGTCCAGCGCGTTGACAATACTTCCCAAGATCCACCACCGAAGCTAATGGAGACGACCTAATAGACAGCTTTTTCATCACCCTTGCGCCACAGAGCTGTCTTCCAGTGGCATTTGGTCGCTTGTAAATGCAACGATCCATCGTAGCTCGTGCATAGGACGTCGTTGCTAGTTGGGTGCGTGAGGACATACCCTAGCTACATAATTCGGAGGTTCGGCCTAGCGAGCAAATAAATGTGCCTTTATTTCCTATAAACTAGTGTACAATAATGTCCTTGGCGTCGAATTGAGTGGCACGCGCGGTCTTCCCGCCACGCGCAAGATCGCGACCGTGGCGCCCAATCCACACGCCGATGGCGTCACGGACCAATCCGAGTGTCGCATGCCAAGGATTTCAGCCAATCAAAACGATTCCTACGCGCTGTGCGAAAGTGCACTTGGCTCCATTTCCAACCGTCTCGCGCATGGCCGACCACCTCTTCGTGTTCGCCAACAACAAGGCCGGCATGGACGGCGTCGACCGCTCCAAGGTCAACGAGACCATCTACGAGCTCTCCAAGGACTCGGCCTTTTTCAAAAACTCGCTCGAGAAAGACGCCAAGACCGACGCGCGCATCGCCGAGCTGCGTCGTCGCCTCGAAAGCA